GTTATTTAATAAAGTTGTTTACTTTCCTTATAAAGCTTACTGTCACAGGATGCTGCCTGTTAAAATAATTACTTTTTGAATTTATAAAAAGTTCAGTAGCCTCTAGAGTAAATAAAATTTTCCAAGATTTATTTATTTTCATTTATAATTTTATGATTCCTATAATGTAAAATCCAAAGGTGGGTGACTTTCAATCCATGGCCCTCGGGCCTGTATTTTATTGTTTTTGTTCAGACATTCCTCTAGGCCATATAGCCCTGGTGTGCAAGTTGCTGTACCTCGGTCACTTGTGGTTACTGTGAGGCTGAACACTGTGACACTGATGTGTCAAATGTGTTAATGGTTGGCTAGCCAATGCGGACAGAGAGTGGGGTGGAGCTCCCAGATGAAAATAAGCTTGGAAGGAGGAGTGGCATCCACTTCCATAATAGCTTGCCTCCAGGTACCCTTTGAACCTGGAGAGAGGATGAAAGGTACCCAAGCGTCAAGGACTCTCCTTCATAGGGTCGCTATGAGTCGCCTGCGACTCGACAGCTCTCAACAACAACAACAATGTAAAATTACTCAAAAAAATCCTTGTTTCAACATCTTAAAATAAAAGTAAAATTATATTTTATCACTTAAAAAATAGGAACATTTTGTTGGCTAATTTGAATATTTATCAGCAGTAAATTTAAAAGGCAGAGGGGGTTTTTTTGTTACAAACACCCTAGAAGGCAGTTTGTGTGTCCTTAAGAAGCTGGATGTAGAAAATCTATATGACTCAGCTATTCCACTGCTAGAAATTTCCCCAAGGAAATTAGAATTGAGATACAAACGAAGATTTTTACACCAATGTTCATAGCAGTGTTATTCACCACCACAAGATCATGGAAACAACCCAAATGTCCAACCACAACCAAACAAATTGAAAAATTTTGATATATTCATATAATGGAATACTATGCAGCACTCATTAAGCAATGATTTTGAAAATACTACATAATCTTGTAGAGACTAGAGAGCATTATGTTGAGTAAACTAAGTCATTCTCATAGGGACAAATACTGCCCTTGACCATTATTGTAAAAATAAAAGAATAACTAGCAAAATATGTGTGGAGGGGGAAAGCATGGGAGCAAAGGGGTTAGGATGGGAAGGGAAGAAATCACAGGGTTGCCCAATTAGGTAGGTGGGGGGGGGTAAAGGAAATGAGAAAGATTCCACAGGGATCTGAAAAGACAGGATAATGGTGAGCATAGTTTAATGGTGATTAGTTTTATAAAACACAATGTATGGGAATAATTGTATGAAACATAGGATCAGTGAATGAAAATGTGTGTGGCGGGGGAAATCTGCATAATTTTTTTAAAAAAGTGAAATGCCCCCCTAAAAATTTGTTTCTTCCCTTTTCACGACTGAAAAATACATTTGTTTTTGTTTTGTTTTGTTGTTATTTTCATATAAAACATATTATTTATTTTTGGTCCACCTTATTTCTATTTTTTAAAAGACAGTTATTTTATCACAATTTGTAAATCATCACATGTTGAATAACATTTAGGCTTATTCCAGGTTTTGCATGTTATAAATAAAGTTACTATTTTTTCTTATGATAAGAAATGAATTTTATTCCAAACCCTTTAACCTCTGAATTGTATTTAAGTTTTTGCCTATTCTTATCAGTAACTGCTAGACATTTAAGAGCATGCTGCATCACTGAATATTACTATAAATTTCATCCAATTTAGAAAGTTGATTATCTCTTTGGTACAACCTGAGCATTGGTTTCTTTTTGCTTTAAAGGTTTAACATGAAATTTATCTATAAAATTTCCTTGATTGACCTTTTGTATTCACATGTCCTCCAAGGGTCAGCACTCACATGAGTGCTTTCATTAAAGTTGTAAATTAGCAATGATAATATTAATGTATTTGCATTTACTTGGTTGTTATTGTTAGGTGCCGTCAAGTCAACTACAACTCACAGAAATCATACAAACAAAGATTTAAACCTTGACCTTTCTTGAGCTAATTCACAATTTCTCTCATGTTCAAGCCCATTGTTGTTATCACTGTGTCCATTCATATCCTGAGAATCTTCCTCTCTTTCACTGACTCTCTGCTTTTCTTAATATTATGACCAAGGACTGGCCCCTCTTGACAAGATTACCAATCTATGTGAGAAATGTCATGATCTGTGCCTCTAAGGATCACTTTGGTTACACTTTTTCCAAGGCACATTTGATTGCTCTTTGAGCAGTGTGAGATAGTCCATACTCTTCTCTACCACTACACTGCAAAGGCTTTGTTTCTCCACTATTATTGTTGCTGTTAAGCGCTGTCAAGTCATTGTGACTCACAGTGACTCTATGTACAACAGCTCTGAACTCTGCTCTATTTTGAGCCGATTTCATTGTCTCTGACACACCTACCTCCATTAATCCAGTCACTAAATTAATCTATTTCATCCAGGGTCTTCCTCTCCTATGCTGTCCCTCCACACTTCCAAGAATGATGTTCCTCTCCAAGGTCTTGTCCCTCCTTGCAATATTCCCAAAGTGTGTCAGAGAGAGCTTTAGAATCCTTGCCTCCAAGCAGCAGCCTGGTTTCACCCTCTCCAACAAGAACCTCTTTGTTCTCCAAGCATTCCATGATATATTCAATACTCTTTCCACCATGACAACTCAAAGGCATTGATTCTTCTTCTATCATCCTTAGTCATTGTCCAGCTCTCTTATGCAATCCAAGTAATTGGCCTTTGTTACTCTTTGACCAAATTTCAGATACATAGGAAGAAATCGAAAATACCAAGCCTTGCACCAGGCTTGGTAATTTGTCTTTAAATTCATCCTTGCTCTTTCGCACCTTAGAAAGGTCTCTAACCTCCAGTCAAAATTCCTCCAGTGCAATATGCCTTTTGGTTTCTTGATTGTTACTGCTATGGTTGTTGATTGTGGAGTCAGCAAAGTAAAATCCTTGACACTTGAAGCTTTTCCTCTATCATAAATTTGGCTGTTTAGTCCAGTGGTAAAGTTTTTTTGTTTTTCAGATGTTGAAATGTAACCCATATTGAGGCTGTAATTTTCATCAATAAGTGCTTCTTCAAATCTTCTTAATTTTCTATAAGCAAGCTTGTGTCACCCTATGTATAATGCAGATTATTGATAAATCTGATGCTACATTCTTTATTATGTACTCCATTCATGCCTTGAATGATTTACTCACTCTACAGGTTGAATACGTATGGATAAAGGATATATCCCTGACACATATCTATCAGGAAAGAATGAGGTTTTGACAACTGGCTTTCTACACTGCTTGAGTCAAATTTTTTTGTTTGTTTGTTTGTTTTTAAAGTCCCATTTCTCTTGACTGTTTCTAATAACTATGCTGTGACAATCTCAAAGTGTTTATAAATAGAAAAGTTCTTTTTCTATCTATCACTGGTAAACAGATGGAAAGTAATTGTCTCAGGATGCTTTACCCTTGAATCCTCATAATTGAAATGATATCACTCACTCACTCACTGCTTTTTGGTCAGGACCAACTCTTAGCTAACCTTCCACAGTATTGCAAAGACGGCAAATTGTACAGGAGGGGATTATTCATCTTCCTCCTGAAAAGTCTCAGGAAGAGATAGCCTCAGGAGAGACACTGCCTTTGAGTTAGCAGCTCAACTCCCTATGGAATGTTTCATGAGAGTTCCACTTAGATGATGTAATTGAGGACTCTTAATTTAAATTTATTACTGTAAATGGCAAAAGGGACTTTCATTTGGGCTTAGATTGAGCATCCTGAGATAGGGAAACCATTTTAAATTATGTGGACGGCTCAAATAATTACAAGAGTCCTTAAGAGAAGGAAGAAGGGAAGAGGAATGTTAGATCATGGAAGAAGTGTGACCAGACAATGTGGTTTGAAGATACTGCCTTGCCAGCTTTGAAGACAGAGAATAGGCCAGAATCAAAGAAACATGAACAGCATTTAGTAGCTAGAAAATCAAGGAAACATATTCTCCTAAAGCATTCAAAAGAAATAGAAATCTGTCCAAACCATGATAGCAGAATTTGTGATCTCCAGAACTAAGCACAATAAATCTGCATTGTTTAAGTCACTAAGTTAACGTTCCCAGTTGGAGCAAATAGCTTGTACTCAATCAACAGGAAAAAGGAAGAAGAAATTTGGGAATCTGTTTCTGTTGAAATTATACTCTATGATGCAGCTCTACTCTGTAATGTGAGAAACCCAGGAGTCAGAAGTGATGCAATAGCAACTGACACCAATAAAGCCATTAAGTTAGATGTAATGTGCTATATCAGCAATAAGAAATAAAATACAAAGGATTTCCACTTATTTTCTATAAAAAAATCTTTGCAAATATGTCATATATTGTTGAATTTTTATGTGTCATGAATTTTCAGATTAACATAGCAAAGAATGCACTTCTGAAAACATTGGTAATTAAAATAAAAATATAAATATCCTTAGTGTGTGTGTGTGTGTGTGCATATTTTTCTTTTTCTGTTGAGAGCCATCTCTTAGAAAAGTGACAACTGGAGCAATGCTGAAGTAGAACATTTCTTCACCCCAAAAGGATAAATTCTGCTTCATAAACCAAAAGAAAAGCAATTCAATAAGTATACTTTGCTCTTAAATATTCAGTTGAGATTTTTCTCACTGTGCATTATTAACATTTGAAAGTAAATTATGAATGGTATATTTAGACTTTTAATTCATTACTGCAAATGAGGACCTCCTTCACCAAGACTCCACTCATCAATTATCTCATCAACTTAAATTCCAAACTCAGAAATCATACTGACAATTTTTTAACATACTTCAATTATTGTAGGGCAATGAAATTTTCCATAATTTGTGCAATAAAACATATTCAGTAATCAACATGATTATTTGTCTCTGAAGAATTTTTAAGTTCCTTGAAGACTCATGAGAGAATGGCAAAGACATATAAATATAACAAAAGAAAAACATTTAAAAGGTTTTAGCAGCATCTCTTACCTGTGTAACAAGTGGCTCCAACAGCCTTTCCACTGTCAAAGTACGGATTTCCAAACTTTTGGGATCCCATTTCAAAATGATAGGTGAAGTTGCCGAAGTCATGCTTCCTATGGAAATAAATATTATCAGATAAAAACAGTCATCACTGCATAAATGTTACTGTAGGGGCACAAGATAAGTAACTGAAATCTAGGATAGAAAATGATCTCTCCAAGTACATAGACTTAGAGATGGGAAACTTAAACCAGAACTTGTCAAGGTGGGAACAGTAGTGTCAGATTAAAATCAAGATCTCACTCCCAAGAGTACCTGTATATATTAGGAAATTTCTTGGACTAATTTATCATGCTACTATTTCATTCACCCAGCATGCAGTACACACATCCATCTTCTATATGTTAAGAAAGATTCTGCCCTTGTGTAACTTATAATTTTAAAGTAGAAACAACTACGTCAGGCAACAATTATGTCTCAGGGAGACAGGTGATATGATAATTTATTTTCATGGGGTTACTTTGACTGAGAATTGACAGTAGAGGGTTGTAGTGGAAATTCGAGGACAGTAATGTACAGTCATTAAAGAGTGACCAGTAAAGACTGGAACACCAAAATCTGATTATATTCACAAGATGAGCAAATACATATCATGAAAAAAACCTCTTTAGTTTTCTCGTACATCATCACAGACCATTAAAGACACAGTAAGACCTTTGGCAGCACAGATCATTTTCTTAAATAGCAAATATCTTGCAAAATAAGTTCCTAGTTTTCTGAAAATCAGCTTGCTACTACTTCTACACTCTCTGATACTTAGTATGTTTACATTCTCATCCCCAAAAATCAGTGCCCAATAAGGTTATTTATCTCACTCTAAAACAATCTTTTCTTTGGATTATTAAAATTTACACATATAGTGGCAAATATGAAGAAATGAGGAACTCTATCAATTTCTGTAGGGAGTTCTAGTGGTCTAGTAGTAGAAGGTGCACTGCAATTCCAAAATCATGTGATTCAAATCCACCAGCTGCTCTTCAGGAGAAGGAGGTACAATCTCTCCCATATGATCAACTTCCTCTGAAAACCCCTTGGAGGATCAGCTATCAGCCTGTTCCAACTTGATGGCAAATAACAACAATCACTAACTTTGCCAGTCTGAAAGTGACTGAACATTCAATCAAGATTCATTAAAAATAATATGGTAATTGTTGTTATAGTTATTGTTATGTGCCATTGAGTCACCTCCAACTTATAAAAGACTAGCAGGAAGGCACAAGGCTGGAGATGGCATAACATATTTTTTTTCCAAATCAATGAGTTTTTTTATTGCAAATACCTTTTTTTAAAAAAGCAACATAAAGTATACACATGGACATCATGTGATTGACTAACTCTGTGGAAGAATCAATGGAGATGTTCAATATCATCACTGAAATAAAAGCTATGTAGCTGATTGAGCAAGTTCAAATTGAAGGTGAAGAAAATGAAAGCAAGTCAACAGGAAATGCAGTACTGCTTTGAATCCATCCTAATGGAATTTTAAAGTAATCTCAAGAATAGAGTTGATGCATTGAACACTAATTACTGAAGACGACATCGCATGTGGGAACACATCAAGTTTATCAGTCATGAGCACAGCAAAAGGTCTTTACACAGACAGGAAAGAAAAAAAGACAAAAATGTATGTCAGCAGAGAATCTGAAAGTTTCACTACAACATGAAGATGTAAAAATAAAGGGAAGAAATGTAAGAGACAAGTAACAATAATTTCAAAGAGTATATATATCCTCTCTCCATACATATTTCAATCTTTATGCTGAAGAAATAATTTAAGATGCCAGACTATAAGAAGAATCTTGCATCAGGACTGGAAGAAGATTCATCAACAACCTGTGTTACACAGATGACACAATCTTGCTTGCAAACCCTTAAGGAGACTTGTAACACTTACAGAAGAAGATGAAAGATCACATTTCTGGACCAATATAACAGAGTGATAGCTGGAGAAATTACTTCACTTGTAAAAATTTTCATTTTGCTTGGATCCACAATCAACATCCATGGTACTGGTAGTCAAGAATTCAAAATGTGTTGTGTTGGGGAAATCTGCTGTCAAAGACCTCTGTAAAGTGCTAACGTACAAGAATGTCAGTTTAAAAAGTGTATCTGATTCAAGCTGTGGTGTTTTTAGTTGTTTGCTATGCATATGAAAGTTGGAAGATAAATAAGGAAAACTAGAGAAAAATATTTTTTCATTGTGGTATTGAATATTTCATGGACTGCCAAAAGAACAACCAAATTTCTTAGGGGAAGTACAAGCAGAGTTCTCCTTAGAGAGAAGAGTTCTCTGGGAGCTTAGTGAAGGGATTGTGCTCCCAACACATAGGTAGATGTTTCAAATCCACCAGCTGCTCCATGGAAGCAATTTACAGTTTCTGAAACCCATTTGAGGTTCAGCTATGACTTGTGACACAACAAAAACAGCTAAAAGAATAAAAAAAAAAAACCTGCCTTGGTGAACGTACAGCTGTGCTTCCGCTTATGGAAGTCAGAAGGCAAGGACAGTGAAAGTTCATTTTACATACTTTGAATGTGTTCTCAGAAGGGGCCGATTCTTGGGAAAATAACTGGGAAATGTGAAGGAACAGTGAAATACGGATGACCCTCAATGAAATGGTTACAGTGACTGTAACAATGCAGGTGAACATGTCGGAGATCACGAGGATGGCATAGAATAGGGCAAGGTGAATATCTGCTGTTCATATTGTTCCTATGAGTAGTATTCAATGACTCAAAAGACCTAACAACAAAGCAATCCATTCTTGCCTAAGAGCCGCTGACATGCAGGTGGCACCTTCTCATGTACAAGCAAAAGACGTGGTACTGGCCTTAGGGGAATAAAGTATATTTTCTTAGGTTGAGATGAGATGTGTTTCTTTACAAAGTTATACTGCTATTTGCTGAATACATTTTGAAATTTAACTACTGGACAAGCAATCTCAGCTTGTACAAACTGAAACAAAATCATTTGTCTTAATACCACCATAAATCAAACTGCATATGGCTGTTTACTTCTCTTGAATTAATGGTCCCCTCAATTCCATCCTTACAAAGCAAAGATTATTTCTGTAAGAATTAGAATAAGAAAGAAGGCCCATCACAATAAGAGCTGGTGGCAACAGGCTTCTTTGCTGCCCTACCACCACTAATCCTTCTGCAAACAGATACTTAGTTTACTTCAGGGGGGGAGAAAAGGAGGTGAAGACACAGTGTGCTGATATTTTAATTCTCTCCAAATGTCTTGTTTTAAATAAACTTAGCATAGTGATCCAACCACACAGAGTAATTTAGACTCAGGCTCCTTCACAACAACAATACTTGGCACTGATATGCTGCCTGCTCTCCAAAAACACTGTACACATTTCCCATTCACACTACCAACTGGCATATTGCAGCTCCGGTTGTGGAGAATTTTGCTGCGGGGCAGCATACTTTCCCAGGCTGTGTAAAGCTAGCAATGCCAAATGGTATTTGTGCAGACAAGGAAAACTTCATCTCCTCCAGGGCTAAGCCAATTTAAGTTATTTTGGTTGAGTATGCATGAAAAAGAGGAAGACCCTCTACAAGGTGGATTGAAACAGTGACTGTGGCACTGCACTAAAGTTTATCAGAGATGATAAGGGTGACACAGGATAAGGCCAGATCCATCATTCATAGCTTCACTCTGAGCTGTATTTAACTCGCTGGCATCTAACAACAGCAACACCACATGAAATAGTTACAGGAGTTTCAGCAGTTCCCTGAGAATTGTTTTCATGCTCTAGGGAATCATGAATAACTTAATAATTATTATGAAGAAGGAAGTCATATAGGGAGGGTGGATAACTAGTATCATGATGTGTTATCAAGCAGAGTCCCACAGCATTTTCATGGCTATGTCCTTTCAGAAGCAGATTGGCAAGCTGTTTTTCTGTGGCCCCTCTGAGTGGATCTGAACTGCCAACCTTTTGATTAGCAATCTCCATCATTTGCTCCATTTAGGAAGCCAGGCAACCAGCAGTGAAATAATTGTAACAAATCAGTAAAAGGTATGGAGTAATACTGTGTAGTGAATTCCCATTGCAACAAAGCATGCTTTTGCATATACATTATTATTAGAAAGAGGTTAGAACACACAATCATTTGTGGATGTTGAATTGAATTTGCTTTAAAAAACAGAAGTCTGTCCCATCCTGAAGATGCCGTGGATCGCAGATCCCAGATGTGGTGCTCTGAATCATTTGATGTAGCAGTGGAAGCAGCGCTGACTCAAGAACTGTCTGCCTGCCAGTGTGAAGTGCAGGGGGCCTCTGGAGGCAGATACAGCTGTTGCCTCTGCTGGCCACTTGATGGTACTTCTGGGGTTTGGGCCCCTGGTCTAGTAAACAGATTTCTAATGTTGGGGTGGGGGGCGGGGTGCAAACAAACATAGACATTTAAAAAAACAACTCACAACCAAAATAGACACACCCCCCCCCGAAAAAAAAAAACAAAAACAAAAACAAAACCACGCTGGTGCAGCCATACCAGAAATACTAATGTAGTAAGAAGGTGGGAAGGGCATGTTTGAACAAAGACCTCACATTGACTGTGATCCAAGAAGCAGAATTAGACAAACCACTGAGTTCTAAAATTTATAAAGACCTTCTAAATCCAGAAGTTAAAATGTAAGTGTTAATAGACAGGTACTCAACTTAATTCATTCTGGGATCCATCTTTGCAGAGACTCTTTGAGATACTGATAAACCCGAACAGCACAGGCAAGGAAAAGTTAAATCGCATTAATTTGCCTTGTCATAGAAGCTTCACATTGCACTAAACTAGGATTTCTGTAACTACTAATTTTTTAACCATTTGGTTCAACACCCAAATTAGTAAAGTCAGAATCTCTGGTCTTTAAATCCAAAGTATAGAGATACAAGATTTTTATTAAACTGCTTCAGAAGTGAATCTTAGCTTTGAGTCAGATATTAAGCAGAGGCTGTGTGCCGGTGGTTGTTAGGTGTTTTCGAATAGAGGACAATTCATAGCGACCCTCTGAACAACAGATATGAAGACTCTCCTATCCTG